CGCTACCACCCCCGCGCTTTACAGGCCACGCCTTCGTCGCCCCCGCCCTAATACGCTTGCGACCACGCCCTTTCGCCCCGCCTCCGCCACGCCCGCATGGCCACGCCCCTTTTCGTCCCGTCTCACAAATTTATCAATGTACCTTTACCGCACCTCTTATCACTGTACCTCTTATCACCGTACCTCTTATCACTGTACCTCTTATCACTGTTCTATCACTGTACCTTCTTATCACTGCACCTTCTTATCACTGTACCTTCTACCACTGCACCTTTATCACTGTACCTCTTATAGCACCCTTACTGTACCTTCTTAATACTGCACCTCTTATCACTGTACCTCTTATCACTGCGCTCTATCACTACACCTCTTATCACCACTCTTATCACTGTACCTTTATCAATGCCTCAAAACTGTACCTCTTATCACTGCACTTTTTATCACTGTAATTCTTCACTGCACCTCTTATCACTGAACTTCTTATCACTGCCCTTCTAAAATTACTATACTTTTTTTTTTTGGTGATATTTAAATGGTTATGCTTTATTTAAATTTATTCTAGCATGTGGAATTCTAGCATGTTTAAGGATATTTATTTGGTATTATTTGTATTGTAATGTAAGTATGTTTATCTTGTATAATAGCTCAAATATTTTAGAGAAAGTATTAAAATTAATGAAATTGAAAAAATATTTTATCTTTTTTAAGAAAAACTAATTTTCTTTTAAAGTTTCAAAGAATTTGGTAAATATTGTTACTGTTATTGTTATTATTGCTACCTTTCAAATTTAACTACTAATATATGTCATACCTTTTTTTTTCTTTTTTTTTCAAAATTTGTCTACTTAAATTACTATACTTTTTTTTTTGGTGATATTTAAATGGTTATGCTTGATTTAAATTTATTCTAGCATGTGGCATTCTAGCATGTTTAAGGATATCTATTTGGTATTATTTAATTTAGAATATTTGGAATGTAATATTGTTTATCTTGTATAATAGCTCAAATATTTTAGTAATAAATTGATTTTCTAGCTGAAGTTTTTTGGGAAAATTGTTCTGGGAAGTATAATAATTATAAAATAAATAAATGTATCGAATATGATATATGTTGAAATGGAATCAAACTATTATATATGTTGATTGAAATGGGAATCAAACTAAAAAAACTTTTGTATTGATTGAAATAATTGTATAAAAGTAATGTGACATAACTAATAAAATGAATTGTTCTCTTTTTCCTAATTTCAAATTTTAATTTAATATGATAATTAATTTTGTTTGCTATTTATATGTCAATGATATATTATTTCATTTGATTTTTTCATTATAATAGGATAATTTTGTGATATGAAATTACATTATAATACAGTTATACATCTTCTTTCTTTTTTTCAAAAAAAAAAAGTTCTTATGAAAATTTGAAATTTTATGAATTGATAAAATATGTAAGAAAATAAGTTTTTTTTTTTTTTTTTTTTTTTAAATTAAGCACAAGTGATAAAAATTATTTTGAAAATTTTAAGTCGGAAAAATTTGAAATGTTTGTGAATATTTTTGTCACTTTTGTAACTGATTGAAACACACTGATAATAATAAATCAATTTTCAAATCGATTTATGAGATAAAAAAAAAAAAAGAATTATTTGTTGCACATAAGATTGATTTATTATTATCAAATAGATTAATTGATTTAATGGATGGGAAATGATTAAATTTTAGGAAAAAAAAACTGTGAAAGACAAAGAATGAAATTAATAGAATTAAATTGTTGGTTGTTTATGATAATAAAAATTAATTTGAAAATAAATGAATGATTTAGCTAAGATGTTCAGATCAATCTTATAAAAGTTCATTTTGATATATCTTATCAGCTAAACAATTGAAATGTGTTATTTATCAATTAGCTGTGTGATCAGCGTAAGAGCGTTTAAGAAAAAAAAAATTGATAAATTAACAAATCATTAAAAGTGCTTTCATTTGAATGCAAATGAATTTAGGAAAGGAGAAATTGTCACAAAAATGTCACACTGATTATAACTGATAGAATATTGATATTATAAAAATAATTTAACATTTAATATCCTTAATCTACTTAAATTACATTGATATTGTGATATGATAATATTGGTAAATTATTTACACTGATTTGATAATATTGATTAAATCAGTTGAATCAATTAATGCTTTTAAAGAATGCGGCATTGATCATTTAATGATTTAATGAGCAAAAAAAAAAAAAAATTATATTAAATTTCTCATAATTTCATTCAGTTTAACAGCAAATGTTTTGAATCTAATAGATTTAATCAATAATAATTAGGATTCTATAGCAGTTTTACTAGTTATCAATTAATTAGTTATTTTTAAAAGTTATCAAATATAGTTCTGATAATAACTTCATATTATCACGAATCAATTATTCTAAAAAAGATTTGAGCGCAAAATTAAAATTATAAATTCAAATATAAGCATAAAACTGCTGAAATTGTTAAAATATGCATAAATTACGTAAAACTGATAGCTGTAATTATTTGAAACTATTAAAACTGAATGGAATTTTTTAAATAATAAACTTTTCTTAATTAAATGAAAATTAATTTGACAAAAATATAATTTAAGCTAAAAATATAAATATAAAATTCTGCTTTTGAAACTTAGGTAACATTAGATGAAAAATTTAACACTTATTGGCTTGGCTAGTAGAGATATGATAACAGTTTATATCAATTATAAATTTATCACTAAAGGTGCAATCAGAAAAAAATTTCCAAATTTTTATCAATCGGTAAAGCTTATTTAATTAAATTAAGCTACAAAAATCTAGCAAAACAAAAAAGTTAAGTTAATAAAAATAAAATAACAAAAATGTTAAATTTGAAATTTTGCAATCATTTAGCTTTCAGCATGAAGGTAATATGTAAGCTTAATTGCTAAACTTTTTGATTTTGATTAAAGTAATATATAATAAATTAAAGTAATATATAATCAATTTTTTGATTTTGATTAAAGTAATACTTAATAATTTTTTTTTAATTAAAGTAATATTAAAAACTATTTCAAAATTATTGGTATTAAAATTGAAAAGATTATAAATTCAAACCACATGTAAATTCTTGATAGGATTTTTTATCCTGAAATTAATTATAAATATGTTTTGAAATTTGCTCATTTTTATAACAAATAATCTTTGCTTTTTCAAAATTTCTCAAATTTTGAAGGAACTACAACTATTACCAATTTCAGGATTTAAAAAAAAATAAGTGACAAAATTTGTTATTTCATACTCGAGGAATTTTATAAGAAAAATTTAATTATTATTATTAATTATCAATTTATTTTCAGTGTTCAATTGTTATTTTATGATTAGTTTTTTTTTTTTTTTTTTTTTTTGCGACAAAAAAATTTTGTCAAATAATTGAACATTTGTCCACAAAATTGTTATTAGCTTTATTGGATAGTTAAAACAATCATTTTTTGATTTGTCTAAAATGATCGTGATTTGATTCTAAATGATTGCAGTTATTTTGATCAATTAGCTATGATCAATTTTTTTTTTTTTTGAACTGATTATTATTCAATGATAATTTTCCTAAATGTAAAGAAAAAAAAAAGGACGAAAATGAATTGCTTTTGATCATTTATTAGTTGCATTGATTGCCATTGATTAGCATATATTATCTGAAATATGAGCTAATATTCGATTACTTAAAATTGAATTGCAAATTCAAGAATCAAATATTGCTAATAATTGAAAATAGCAATGACTAAATTTATAAGTAACATAATTTTTTACTTTTTTTTTTTTACTTTTTTACTTTATTACTTTTTCTAAAATATTTGAGCTATTATACAATGCAAGATAAACAATATTACATTCCAAATATTCTAAATTAAATATTAGCAAATAGATGTCCTTAAACATGCTAGAATTCCACATGCTAGAATAAATTTAAATAAAGCATAACCATTTAAATATCACCAAAAAAAAAGTATAGTAATTTAAGTAGACAAATTTTGAAAAAAAAAAAGAAAAAAAAGGTATGACATATATTAGTAGTTAAATTTGAAAGGTAGCAATAATAACAATAACAGTAACAATATTTACCAAATTCTTTGAAACTTTAAAAGAAAATTAGTTTTTCTTAAAAAAGAAAAAATATTTTTCAATTTCATTAATTTCATCATTTTTAAATGAATATTTTTTGTTTCGCTGATTTTTTTAACTAATCTAATTTAGGTACTAAATAGTTTAATTGATTCTTTTATTCTATATTATATTGCAACTAAAAAATAAAAATTATTTCATAATTTAATTTAATCACTGAGTTATTCAATTTATTATCATCAAAACAGATAGCAAACATGATTTTTTTTTTTGTAATTTTAGGTTTTTTTTTCTTTTTTCTTTCCTATCATATTTTTTGTTCTCATTTTTTTTTTTTTTTTGTTAAGCAAGAAAAAGACATAAAAATTCAATGAAATACCATACGGAAATTCCATTTAAAAAAAAATTATTGATCATAAAACTTTCAATAGCCTTTGCAATTTTAACTTTTTATTTTGTTTTTGTCCTTTTATCTCTTTCTTTTCTGGTCGTTTTAATTCTAGAAAAATTCATTCAGAAATTTATTCAGCCCTCATCGCTCCGCTACCACCCCCGCGCCTACAGGCCACGCCTTCGTCGCCCCGCCCCTAATACGCTTGCTTGACCACGCCCTTTTCGCCCCGCCTCGCCACGCCCCTTTCGTCTTATCACTGCACCTCTTATCACCCTCTTATCACACCTCTTATCACTGCACCTCTTATCACTGTACCTCTTATCACTGCACCTCTTATCACTGTACCTCTTATCACTGCACCTCTTATCACTGTACCTCTTATCACTGCACCTCTTATCACTGTACTTATCCAACCTCTTATCACTGCTGTCTTTCTTGTACCTCTTATTGTCACTGTACCTACCTACCTCTGTAGTACCGTACCTCTTGTACCGTATTATGGTACCGTACTTTTTGTTATTGTACCTTTTCACCGTACCTCTTGGTACCGTACCTCTTATCACTGTACCTCTTGTACCTCTTGTTACCGTACCGTACCTTTACCGTACCTCTTGGTACCGTCTGTACCTCTTGGTACCGTACTTTTATACCGTACCTTGTTACCGTCACCGTGTACCGTACCGTAACCGTATTATACTGTACCTCTTGTACCTCTTGGTACCGTACCTCTTGGTACCGTACCTATCACCGTACCTCGTGGTACCGTATCTTTTATTACTGTACCTCTTGGTACGTACCTCTTGTTACCGTACTTTTATCACTGTATCTCTTGGTACCGTACAATAACAAAAGTATGGTACCAAGCGGTAACAAGAGTCGGTACTAGAGGTAGGTACGGTACCAAAAACAGTGAAAAAGTACGGTAACAAGACGGTACGGTAGCAAGAGGTACATTAACAAAAGATACGGTACCAAAAGATACAATAACAAAAATTACGGTACCAAGAGGTACGGTGATAAAAGGTACGGTACCAAGAGGTACAGTAATAAAAGATACGGTACCACGAGGTACAATAACAAAAAGTACGGTACCAAGAGGTACGGTAACAAGAGGTACAATAAGAAAAAGTACGGTACGAAGAGGTACAGTGATACAGGTACGGTACCAAGAGGTACAGGTAGATAAAAAGGTACGGTAACAAAAGATACGGTACGGTACAATAACAAAAACGGTACAAGAAGGTAAAAAGTACGGTACAAGAGGTACCAAAAGATGTTACGGTACGGTAACAAGAGGTACGGTAAAAGGTACGGTACCAAGAGGTACGGTACGGTACCAAAGGTACGGTACCAAAGGTACGGTAAGGTACGGTACCAAGAGGTAGTAAAAGGTACGGTAACAAGAGGTACAATAACAAAAAGTACGGTACAAGAGGTACAGTGATAAGAAGGTACGGTACAGTGATAAAAAGTACGGTAACAAGAGGTACATAAAAAGATACGGTACCAAAAGAGGTACGGTACCAAAAGGTACGGTACCAAGAGGTACGGTACCAAAAGGTACGGTAACAAGAGGTACAATAACAAAAGTACGGTACCAAGAGGTAATAAGAGGTACGGTACCAAGAGGACGGTGATAAAGGTACGGTACCAAGAGGTACGGTAGGTAACAAAGGTACGGTACAAAGGTACCAAGAGGTACGGTAACAAGAGGTACGGTACCAAGAGGTACAGTGATAAGAGGTACGGTGATAAGAGGTACAATAACAAAAGTACGGTACCATAAGGTACGGTACCAAGAGGTAACCAAAGGTGCGGTAACAAGAGGTACGGTACCAAAAGGTGCGGTACCAAGAGGTACGGTGATAAGAGGTACAGTGATAAGAGGTACAGTGATTAGAGGTGCAGTGATAAGAGGTACAGTGATAAGAGGTGCAGTGATAAAAGGTACAGTGATAAGAGGTGCAGTGATAAGAGGTACAGTGATAAGAGGTACAGTGATAAGAGGTGCAGTGATAAGAGGTACAGTGATAAGAGGTGCAGTGATAAGAGGTACAGTGATAAGAGGTACAGTGATAAGAGGTGCAGTGATAAGAGGTACAGTGATAAGAGGTGCAGTGATAAGAGGTACAGTGATAAGAGGTGCAGTGATAAGAGGTACAGTGATAAGAGGTGCAGTGATAAGAGGTACAGTGATAAGAGGTACAGTGATAAGAGGTACAGTGATAAGAGGTACAGTGATAAGAGGTGCAGTGATAAGAGGTACAGTGATAAGAGGTGCAGTAATGGCGGGGGCGGGACGAAAGGGGCGTGGCCATGCGGGCGTGGCGGAGGCGGGGCGAAAAGGGCGTGGTCAAGCAAGCGTATTAGGGGCGGGGCGACGAAGGCGTGGCCTGTAGGCGCGGGGGTGGTAGCGGAGCGATGAGGGCTGAATAAATTTCTGAATGAATTTTTCTAGAATTAAAACGACCAGAAAAGAAAGAGATAAAAGGACAAAAACAAAATAAAAAGTTAAAATTGCAAAGGCTATTGAAAGTTTTATGATCAATAATTTTTTTTTAAATGGAATTTCCGTATGGTATTTCATTGAATTTTTATGTCTTTTTTTCTTGCTTAACAAAAAAAAAAAAAAAAAAATGAGAACAAAAATATGATAGGAAAGAAAAAAGAAAAAAAACCTAAAATTACAAAAAAAAAAATCATGTTTGCTATCTGTTTTGATGATAATAAATTGAATAACTCAGTGATTAAATTAAATTATGAAATAATTTTTATTTTTTAGTTGCAATATAATATAGAATAAAAGAATCAATTAAACTATTTAGTACCTAAATTAGATTAGTTAAAAAAATCAGCGAAACAAAAAATATTCATTTAAAAATGATGAAATTAATGAAATTGAAAAAATATTTTTCTTTTTAAGAAAAACTAATTTTCTTTTAAAGTTTCAAAGAATTTGGTAAATATTGTTACTGTTATTGTTATTATTGCTACCTTTCAAATTTAACTACTAATATATGTCATACCTTTTTTTTTCTTTTTTTTTTTTCAAAATTTGTCTACTTAAATTACTATACTTTTTTTTTTGGTGATATTTAAATGGTTATGCTTTATTTAAATTTATTCTAGCATGTGGAATTCTAGCATGTTTAAGGATATTTATTTGGTATTATTTAATTTAGAATATTTGGAATGTAATATTGTTTATCTTGTATAATAGCTCAAATATTTTAGAAAAAGTAATAAAATTAATGAAATTGAAAAAATATTTTTCTTTTTTAAGAAAAACTAATTTTCTTTTAAAGTTTCAAAGAATTTGGTAAATATTGTTACTGTTATTGTTATTATTGCTACCTTTCAAATTTAACTACTAATATATGTCATACCTTTTTTTTTTTTTTTTTTTTCAAAATTTGTCTACTTAAATTACTATACTTTTTTTTTGGTGATATTTAAATGGTTATGCTTTATTTAAATTTATTCTAGCATGTGGAATTCTAGCATGTTTAAGGATATCTATTTGGTATTATTTAATTTAGAATATTTGGAATGTAATATTGTTTATCTTGTATAATAGCTCAAATATTTTAGAAAAAGTAATAAATTTTGATTTTCTAGCTGAAGTTTTTTTGGGAAAATTGTTCTGGGAAGTATAATAATTATAAAATAAATAAATGTATCGAATATGATATATGTTGAAATGGAATCAAACTATTATATATGTTGATTGAAATGGAATCAAACTAAAAAAAAACTTTTGTATTGATTGAAATAATTGTATAAAAGTAATGTGACATAACTAATAAAATGAATTGTTCTCTTTTTCCTAATTTCAAATTTTAATTTAATATGATAATTAATTTTGTTTGCTATTTATATGTCAATGATATATTATTTCATTTGATTTTTTCATTATAATAGGATAATTTTTGTGATATGAAATTACATTATAATACAGTTATACATCTTCTTTTCTTTCTTTTTCAAAAAAAAAGTTCTTATGAAAATTTGAAATTTTATGAATTGATAAAATATGTAAGAAAATAAGTTTTTTTTTTTTTTTTTTTTTTTTTTAAATTAAGCACAAGTGATAAAAATTATTTTGAAAATTTTAAGTCGGAAAAATTTGAAATGTTTGTGAATATTTTTTGTCACTTTTGTAACTGATTGAAACACACTGATAATAATAAATCAATTTTCAAATCGATTTATGAGATAAAAAAAAAAAAGAATTATTTGTTGCACATAAGATTGATTTATTATTATCAAATAGATTAATTGATTTAATGGATGGGAAATGATTAAATTTTAGGAAAAAAAAACTGTGAAAGACAAAGAATGAAATTAATAGAATTAAATTGTTGGTTGTTTATGATAATAAAAATTAATTTGAAAATAAATGAATGATTTAGCTAAGATGTTCAGATCAATCTTATAAAAGTTCATTTTGATATATCTTATCAGCTAAACAATTGAAATGTGTTATTTATCAATTAGCTGTGTGATCAGCGTAAGAGCGTTTAAGAAAAAAAAAATTGATAAATTAACAAATCATTAAAAGTGCTTTCATTTGAATGCAAATGAATTTAGGAAAGGAGAAATTGTCACAAAAATGTCACACTGATTATAACTGATAGAATATTGATATTATAAAAATAATTTAACATTTAATATCCTTAATCTACTTAAATTACATTGATATTGTGATATGATAATATTGGTAAATTATTTACACTGATTTGATAATATTGATTAAATCAGTTGAATCAATTAATGCTTTTAAAGAATGCGGCATTGATCATTTAATGATTTAATGAGCAAAAAAAAAAAAAAAAATTATATTAAATTTCTCATAATTTCATTCAGTTTAACAGCAAATGTTTTGAATCTAATAGATTTAATCAATAATAATTAGGATTCTATAGCAGTTTTACTAGTTATCAATTAATTAGTTATTTTTAAAAGTTATCAAATATAGTTCTGATAATAACTTCATATTATCACGAATCAATTATTCTAAAAAAAGATTTGAGCGCAAAATTAAAATTATAAATTCAAATATAAGCATAAAACTGCTGAAATTGTTAAAATATGCATAAATTACGTAAAACTGATAGCTGTAATTATTTGAAACTATTAAAACTGAATGGAATTTTTAAATAATAAACTTTTCTTAATTAAATGAAAAAATTAATTTGACAAAAATATAATTTAAGCTAAAAATATAAATATAAAATTCTGCTTTTGAAACTTAGGTAACATTAGATGAAAAATTTAACACTTATTGGCTTGGCTAGTAGAGATATGATAACAGTTTATATCAATTATAAATTTATCACTAAAGTCAAATTTTTTATATCAGATTGCAAAAATTATAAAAATTTTTCTCGAGAAATATATCAATCGGTAAAGCTTATTTAATTAAATTAAGCTACAAAAATCTAGCAAAACAAAAATTTTAAGTTATTTTAAAATAAAAATAGGTGCAAGAAAATGTTAAATTTGAAATTTTGCAATCATTTAGCTTTCAGCATGAAGGTAATATGTAAGCTTAATTGCTAAACTTTTTGATTTTGATTAAAGTAATATATAATAAATTAAAGTAATATATAATCAATTTTTTGATTTTGATTAAAGTAATACTTAATAAATTTTTTTTTTAATTAAAGTAATATTAAAAACTATTTCAAAAATTATTGGTATTAAAATTGAAAAGATTATAAATTCAAACCACATGTAAATTCTTGATAGGATTTTTATCCTGAAATTAATTATAAATATGTTTTGAAATTTGCTCATTTTTATAACAAATAATCTTTGCTTTTTCAAAATTTCTCAAATTTTGA